AAGTGTGTGTATGTAATCCTTTATAAAATGCTCCCTACAAGACAGACTCTCCCCTTAAGTAACCTGAGAGAAAAGATGCGTGTTGCACTGGATCCTAGCAATCAACTAACCTGTTTTAGTGTTTGTAGGATCATGGCTTTGAGCTCTATCAGACCAATTTCAGGGTCAAGAGCCTTCCAATGAGAATATCCTACTCCCAGTCCCCAGGCATTCATATAGATAACCTGACCATTGTATTATATTAATATAATCGACCAGTAATAATGGTTTCCATACCTTTCTCAGAGAAATTATAATACGCTACTTTTCTTATTATTTTATTATGGGCCTGAATTGCTAAATTCAGATAAAGATTCAAACCTCCCCAAAATTCAGTTATTCATATCGGGGGTTTTGATTCAGGTCTGTTTCTAAAATTATCTAGTGAAAGATCTGTCCATTCTTGAGAAAGACACAGCCTGTCTGAAATTTTCTATGAAGTTTTGAGGCACACATCTTTCTCTAATAGGGAGCAGGGAAGGAAGTGAACTCTGTGTGAATGTGTGTGGTTGCATGCCTGGCCAAAGGAACACTAAAACTTGTTCTGTATTTGAAAGTCATCAGTGCATATCAGAGTCACAAAATACTGACTGACACAAGATTGTTACGAAGGTTAGTGTTTACATAGAAACAGCTTCTCTGGAAGTGAAAACTTTACATGCTGCTGTTACGCTCCTCTTTCAAAATGCTGACTCATGCATTTGCTGATTGCATGGTCAGAGAGCATTTTCTCTTTGCAGTTAGTCAGCACGCTTCTGCATACCGTTGTGGAGTTCATATAAGAGAAATAGGAAAGTAACTGATGCCTTAATTCTTTTAGTGTATGTTAGCTAGATGCTACAGTAATGAAACTAGATACAAAACTAGATACTTTACTGGATACAAAAAAGGGTAATTCCTGTCCCTTCTTTGTGGGCACGTAGGACCAAAAACCAGTCTTCTGTTGTCTGAGAGCTTGGGGGACTGCCTCAGCCAGCGGTCTGCAACCCACATGTTCTACAGAACAAAACTCTAAAGGGGCTCCTGTATGTTTCAGCATGGCACTTAAGAATGGCTGGTGGATCAAGAGCTATGGCCGTTTCCTCCATATGGAGTCGAGGATGCAACAGCTGCTGGGACCTATTGTAGCCCCTAGGATGCAGTAGTAGCTGTGGTGAGGCTCTGTGGGCTGGGAGTATTCCTTCTCCCCTGTGCACACTCCTAGTTATATGGGCTGTGGGCAACGTTGAGAATTTGGCCCAGAGGAAGCAGAATGGCTCAGATATTCTGGTGGTAGGGGGCTATACATGTTATAGGAGATTGGACATACCACCTACCATCTTCTGATTTGCCCATTGTCTGATGAGTTGCAGTTACTTCCTCACCAGACTCGCACATACAATTGTGGTGTGACCCATTGTAGCAAACGTGGTGTGTCACTGATCCTAGCAGGACAAGGGATTTTAAAGAAAGATTTGTGGTCATATTTCTCTTTGTAATCAGTGTGTCACAGGGTCATTTATCTTTCCAGCTATGCCTTAGATTTCACCCTGGTCTGTAGTCTTCCTCTGCTGATGGGATAGGTTAGTCACTGAAAACAGGGAGAAACTGAATGTGGAGCCAAGCTAATGAGCCCTGCTCTACCCTCCGTTACACCTTTTTGCAGCTTGAACGGAGTTAGGAAGATAGGGAAGGGACCTTCTGGGTCACTGAGTCTAGTCCCCTGCTAATGCAGGCAACCGTATCATATAATTCCGTTAATAAATTTATCTAGTTCCATCTTAAAACTAGCTCAGTTGTTTACACTGGCAGAGAACTGGGCCCTGTATCTTATGTTAATACTATTTACTACTAAGTAGCTTCATTTTTAGTTCTTCATACAACTGCCTCCACAGTTTCCCTCTCTTGGAACTAGCTGGCAATAAGCCTCACAAGAGCAGGGTTAAAGAGTAGGATTCAACACTGTTCTACTGGACCCATAGCAGGTACTAACCACCACCAAGAAACAGAAGGAAAAAAAATGAAATGTTTCTCTGCTGATGTAAGTAGGTCCAATATGCATTAGTATTATTGTAGGGAGTCACATGACTGCTGCCCCGTCTGCTAACACACAGGAAAGACACTTGAGGCTGGTGAGTGATGTAGGCTGCGGGCGGAGTAGCAGCAATCATATACAAGTAGAAGCCACAAGGGCATCTGAATGGCAGAAACCTGAGAGTGGTAGTGCCTGCAGTACTGGTGAATGTGCAGTGAGCTGATAGAGCACTCTGAACTAAAGGAGACGGAAGTTGAACAACAGCTTTCTTCAGGGACAGGGACATGTGCAAGGTCACGCCCAGTGGTGTTGTGGTTTAAAAAAAAGTGGATAAACTAATTAAATTGAAGTCCCTACTCCTGCAGTGAGAAGCAGGTCCTCTTCCTTTACCCATGTTTACCCTCAGCTATGCTACTGTTCTCACCTTCGGAACACCTGCCGATGAAATAGACTCTTATTAGAGCAGAGGCTTCACCTGCTTCTAGTGTCCCCTGAGGGGAGATGGTCCAACAGTGAAGTGATGCATGCCACAGGGGAATCTTCTGGGACACCTTGCAAACTGCTCTCACCACTCTTTAGCAGTGCCTGGTGAGGGAGCCATCACAGCATCAGGCTCTGCTGTATCCTGTGAGAGGAGACCAAGAGACTTGGTATAATCCAGTCAGAACCAACTCACTCTCCACATTGGTGCATACTCTTGCTTTCCGGAAGTTTGTTTGCCAGGCTCTGTTCTTTGGCAGACATTGTTTCACAGGAGCAGGCTCTGCTTGTTTTTCATTTGCTTCAATTAGAACTCTAACTAGGGAGATGGCAGGAGGGGGGCTGGAGTTTCACATTCCATAGGTGATGCTACTTGTCATCCAGCTGAGGCAGAGACCAACCATCAATTCCAGATTAGAATGAGGAATGTGTAGAAGAATAATTGCACTCCCTTCTCCCTCTGGTTCCACCTCCCTCTCTTTTAAAGTAACATCCATAGTCTAAATTAGAGGCCTTCTCCACCCAAAGCTGCTTTTAAATGGATATTTCTAAAGGCACTACCTTCTACAATAGTTTGACACTCAGTGCATGAGGTATATCAAAGGCACCAATTCACACTATGTAGGGAGAGGTGAAGGAGTCAAAGGTAGGATTGCATACCTTCGCTCACCTTTCCTCGAACTCAAAAGTATCAGTAAAACAGAGCGCTCTCTTTAACAACAAAATCCCGACTGAAAAGAAATGAAGGAAAATTGTCATGTTCAAACTCTTGCATGCAAGCGAGTAGAGTAAAAAATTGCTTTGGTGTCACGGAATAGGCATTGTGTGTATAGTTGATTGGGATATATTGGTTCTCTGCTTACTTGACCTTCTAAGAATAGAAATTTGGTGGCAGAGCTCAGAAAGGAAGCTGCAGAAGTATGAGCATCCCACTACCAGTTCAAAACTATTGACAGTAAAACTAGTTTTGAGTTTTACCAATAATGAACTTTTCAGCAACGATGGGAGGACTGACAGAAACTGAGTTTGGTTTGTTTCCCAGGTTACTAGATGGTCAAAACAACAGACGCCAGAACTCTTAACACATTTAATGGGATTTTCCTTCCATTTACACTATCATAAATTACAAAGCATATTTTACTTCACAAAATAAAGCCATTTCCAGATCATTTTTATGACAATATTTAGTACAGAACCTACAACAAATAAACCTGTACAATTTAGGCGAATCTATAGTAGTATCACCAAATCAGAACTATTTAGCATCTGCTGTGCAATCTGGGTTAATCTACCTAGGCCTTGAAAATGTCTCTAAAGAACAACAAATTTACAGTATTCCCTCCCCCCTTAATTATCATAGTTACACTCATTTTTCAATTTGAATAGAAAGCTATGCTCCCTGAAATAATTCAGAAAACTATCACTGAGTTACCAAGCATCTGATCCATACAATCACAAAGAGAGTTTATAGCTTTTCATACTGAAAATTCAGTTTGGTAGTAAAGTATGCTGCCTGTCTATGTTTTTAGAAAAATCTCATGCTGAGAAACCATTTTAACATTAGAAATATGTTTCAGTTAGATTACGAACCGTGTAGGTCAATATTTGTGAGAGGAGGAAAATAAAAAATTTGGTAATAAATTTAAATGTACCAACTCCCATACTTCTTACACATTCTTGTTTTTAAAAACAAACCATCAGAAAACACATTCAAGAGAAATACTCACATTTTCAGCAGATTTACTGTACATTTATAAATACAGAAACATGACAAATTGCTTTTTACAAAAAAAATCATAATTAAGTAAAACAAAAGTGCTAACTTTTCAACAAGGCCAGAAAATATCCAGTGTCCCAGCATCACTTAACTTACACATTACTGTACTCCAAGAAACATTTGGCATGTGAAACTGATACTACCACCAGACTTTTGAAAACTTTCAACACCACATTTTGGATGGGAAAAAATAAAATAAGACTATACTTGTTAGAAAATACCAAATGACTAAAAATGTACTATACAATCTTAGAATGCCTAAAATATAAACAAAAACCTAAAGAAAGTTAGAATACACATTTTAAAAAAAGTCTCTTTCTTTTAAAACATTTGCAATAAAAGAGGTATGTCAGGATAATACTGCACTAGTGGTAAATGTTTTCAGTATATCATAACAAAAATGCAGGAGAGGATATATGGAAAAAATGCATCACATTGAATTATTGTTTGCTAAAATAAAATGCCATTCTAGCAGCTAATTAAAGTAAAATATCTTGATAATATAGGTTCTGTTTCACAATTGACACACACAATTATGTCTTACAGAGTGGGGAAATGTATAGCTGTATACAAGTAACACTGATTAAGTACCTTTTTGCTTCTTTAGCCATATTAAAATATGTTTTGTGTTCCTTAAGTTAGTAAAAGTGTTTGCAGCTTCTCAAAACAAATATACATATGAGGCAAGGTAAAGGATTTTTTCTGACTTTTCTTTTTCCCTAAAAAAGAGGCATATGTCTATAAGACATAGGCTTTATTAAACATTTTGGCATTCATCTGCAATATCGCAGAAAGTGAAGTGCAGCCCAGGAACTTTCTCTTCTTCTTTTTTTTTTTTTTAAACTATAAAGAAATGTTGGTTTTCCTTTAAACTAATGATTTCAAAGCAGGTGGCTATGAAGTTACTTCTTCATTGTTTAGAACAAAACATCTTCATTTTCTATTAAAATTTGCACAATTAGCTTCTGGTACCGCATGTCATTCAGGGTAGTAAGAGTGCTGTCCTCTGGAGGTCTCATTAAAGTAGGTCCAAACACTATTCCCAGGTTTTCAGAATTCATAAAATTCTCCTTTTCATTCAAGGTAACCCTAAAGTAGGAAAAAATAAAATAAGTAAGTAGCAATTTCTTTACTAGAAAAATCTAATATATAGTAGCGTTATGTTATGGGACTGTTTTGCTTCAAGCATTGTTAGATAATGACGCAGCATACAATCTTGGTTACACTTTAGTGACTGTAATCTCACTGTAGTTACACAGCAATTACAGTGCAATTTCACCGTGGTTTTGCTTATGGAAAACTTTTAAATGCTACTTATTCATATAAATGGAAAATTCACCACAAAACTGATAACTCCAGTATAAATATAATATAGTTGCCATATGTGGATTCTTAAAATATATATTAGGAATGACACTGAAGTGATTCAGTCATGTGGTTAAACTTCCAGTTAGAAAGAATTAGTAGTAATTATTTTATCAAAAAGAATAATCACAGGATAATTACACTGTAAACAACAGTTATTTACCCTCCAGTAACTGTGGTCCTTTGAGATGATGTAATCAGTGTGGATCCCATCGTCGGTGCACATGTACCTAGGCACGTGAGACTGGAATTTCTTTGAATAGCAGTATCTGTCAGGGCCATACATGAGCCCTGTGCCTCCTTGTACTTGTTCCTCAAGGGCATAAAGGGTGCGGCAGCTGCAATCCTCATCTCAATTCCCTTGCAATTCAAAACCTGTTACCCTAGGACTTCAAAAGTGGTGTTGGAGATGTGTCGTTGGATCAACACACACTACAACATCTAGAAAAAACACAGTTACTGGAGGGTAAGTAACTGTTCTTTCTTCAAGTATGTGTCAGTGTGGATCCCACTGTAGGTGACTGGCAAGGAGTGTTTTCTCAGAACGTCTGAAGTGAGGAGTTCCAGCCATATCAGTCACACAATGATTGTAGCACTGCCCTCCTGAACATGGTGTCTGCCCTGACTGCCATGTCAAGGGTATAATGCTTAACAGCCTGTGCCCTGAAGAGTGCACCTCGATGTTCAGAAGGAGAGACTTTCCAGCCAGCTGATAGCAGGTGGAAATGAACTGTTAAATGGACCTTGAGAGAACCAAATGCTAGTCCAGCCTGTTTTAGGAGCTGCATATAATTGAGGATTTTCAGTATTGGTGCCTCTACTGGGTCCATATTGTTCCAGACCGTCTTTTCTGTTTGGAGGAGTAAGTCTTCCTGGTGCTGAATTCCTGCTTTGAATGAGAATTTGGATGAAACTGTAAGGGACAGTCTCTGTGGCTTTTGAGTCTTTTAGCAAGTGCAGAGCTGCACCATCTACTCAGGACACTTCCTACACTAACACAGGAACAAATCAACATACCCTTAGAGCCCCGACCGGGGTAGTAGATAGAATAACCCAAGATCCATAAACCCGGAAATCCTGGACGCCCCATCATCTCGGGCATTGGCACCCTCACCGAAGGACTGTCTGGATATGTGGACTCCCTACTCAGACCCTACGCCACCAGCACTCCCAGCTATCTCCGTGACACCACGGATTTCCTGAGAAAACTGCAATGCATTGGTGACCTTCCAGAAAACACCATCCTAGCCACCATGGATGTAGAGGCTCTCTACACAAACATCCCACACACAGATGGAATACAAGCTGTCAGGAACATTATACCTGATGATGCCACAGTGCAACTGGTTGCTGAGCTCTGTGACTTTATCCTCACACACAGCTATTTCAAATTTGATGACCATATATACCTCCAGACCAGTGGCACCACTATGGGCACCCGCATGGCCCCACAATATGCCAACATTTTTATGTCTGACCTGGAACAACGCTTCCTCAGCTCTCGTCCACTCATACCCCTTCTCTACCTACACTACATTGATGACATCTTCATCATCTGGACCCATGGGAAGGAGACTCTGGAAAAATTTCACCACGATTTCAACGGCTTCCACCCCACCATCAACCTCAGCCTGGACCAATCTACACAGGAGGTCCACTTCCTAGATACCACGGTGCAAATAAGTGATGGTCACGTTAACACCACCCTATACCGAAAACCCACCGACCACTATGCCTACCTTCATGCCTCCAGCTTCCATCCCGGACACACCACACGATCCATTGTCTACAAAGCACTGAGATACAACCGTATCTGCTCCAACCCCTCAGACAGAGACCAACACCTACAAAATCCTCACCAAGTATTTTCAAAACTACGATACCCGCATGAGGAAATAAGGAAACAGATCAACAGAGCCAGACGTGTACCCAGAAGCCTCCTACTGCAAGACAAGCCCAAGAAAGAAACCAACAGAACTCCACTGGCCATCACATACAGTCCCCAGCTAAAACCTCTCCAACGTATCATCAGTGATCTACAACCCATCCTGGACAACGATCCCTCACTTCACAGGCCTTGGGTGGCAGGCCAGTCCTCACCCACAGACAGCCTGCCAACCTGAAGCGTATTCTCACCAGTAACCACACACCGCACCACAGTAACTCTAACTCAGGAACCAACCATGCAACAAACCTCGATGCCAACTCTGCCCCCATATTTACACCAGCGACACCATCACAGGACCTAACCAGATCAGCCACACCATCATCGGTTCATTCACCTGCACGTCCACCAATGTAATATACACCATCATATGCCAGCAATGCCCCTCTGCTATGTACATCGACCAAACTGGACAGTCCCTACGTAAAAGGATAAATGGACACAAATCAGATATTAGGAATGGCAATATACAAAAACCTGTAGGAGAACACTTCAACCTCCCTGGACACACAATAGCAGATTTAAAGGTAGCCATCCTGCAGCAAAAAAACTTCAGGACCAGACTTCAAAGAGAAACTGCTGAGCTTCAGTTCATCTGCAAATTTGACACCATCAGCTCAGGATTAAACAAAGACTATGAATGGCTAGCCAACTACAAAAGCAGTTTCTCCTCCCTTGGTGTTCACACCTCAACTGCTAGAAGAGGGCCTCATCCTCCCTGATGGAACTAACTTCGTTATCTCTAGCCTTACTCACTCTTGCTTGCATATTTATACCTGCCCCTGGAAATTTCCACTACATGCATCTGAAGAAGTGGGTATTCACCCACGAAAGCTCATGCTCCTATATGTCTGTTAGGCCTGGTCTACACTTACCCCCCAATTCCAACTTAGGTACGCAACTTCAGCTACGTGAATAACGTAGCTGAAGTCAAAGTACCTTAGTTCGAACTTACCTCGGTCCACACGCGGCAGGCAGGCTCCCCCGTCGACGCCGCGGTACTCCTCTCGTATAGCTGGAGTACCGCAGTCGACGGCGATCACTTCCTGGTTCGACTTATCACGTCCAGACAAGACGCGATAAGTCGAACCCAGAACTTTGATTCCCAGCCGCCGAACTAGCGGCTGGGTGTAGACATACCCCTAGTCTATAAAGTGCCACAGGACTCTTTGCTGCTTTTGCAGAGCACTGTCTGTGCACTTGCTATATATTTATGGGTCCTGTACCTCTCTTGGAATACCCAGTGCTTGGAACCATGATTCTCTCTGCATTGTCAATGCAATGGCCAACGATCTTGCTGAGGTGTTGGAAGCATCCATCATAGCTGCTAATTGACCTTCCTTAATTATGTCTCTTAGCTCTTCCCTGCTCTTGTGTGGGACGTTTTCAAGGAAGAGTGACACCCTGCCCAATGTTAGGAAGTCATACTGTGTCAGAAATTCCTGGCAGTTAGCTACACGCAGCTGTAAAGAAGCAAAGGAGTATGACTTTCTCCCAAATAGGGTGAGCCATTTGGTATCCTTGGGGGTACTCCTGCTCAAATTAGATTTCTCTTGTACCTCTGACACAACTAAAGAACCCAGGATGGGTGAGTATAGAAGTACTCAAATCCCATTGGAGATATTTGGTTCCTCTTCTTGATATGCTTCGCAGTGGATGCTATCATAGACGGCATCTGCCATAAACCCTTAAAGTGGGTCAAGCAGTCCTCCGTTTATGAGAGACAATCCTGGCTGGACCAGAAGCTGACACTATATCAAACAGCTTGTGGGATTTCTCTGATTATCATTGCCATCTCCATCGCCAGAGTTTCAACAGTCTTCACATGGAAATTTTGGAGTGTTTATAGTCATGAGGTCCTGGTACCAGTGCTGAGGATACTGCTTTGTCAGGAGATGAAGATGAGGGCCTTTGGTGGTGATACAGGGAACTGGTGTTGCTCTGTCCCTGGATCTGGTTCCTCCTGGTACTCCAGTGTAGGTGGTCTGGCCAGAGATGCTGATGGGGAGAGTGACCTCTTCCTTGAGTGTAGTGGAGACTGGCTTTTTGATGCAGGAGATGGTGGACCCCAATAACACCAGTAGGGCCGTGGTGACTGATAGTGGCAGGGTCCTGCATGGGAAGCCAGCAAACTATTCTGTGGTGTTGACCACTGATCTCAGAAGAGAAGGCTTACTACTTGAAGAGGGGGAGAACGTATGCCCTGGTGACAGTGAGGAGGGGTAGATCTCCTCCAGAGACAGCATCAAAGTGTATGGCACTCCCACTACCAGGGTCTGTATTGGTACCTACAGGTGCTTCAGCACTGATGGCTGTTCCAATTCGCCCTTGAGCTCCTTCTCTGTGTTTGGCTTTGATGCTGAGGGTTGCATCACTGGAGCCCCGATTGGTGCCAGCGGGGTTTTTGGCACTGGAGGCAGCTCATTCTCCCCGACCCTTGAACTGTGCTGGGCTTGATGGATTTATCTCCAGAGGCTTCGTGCTGTCTGTCCTTATGGGAGGATGCTAAGCTCCATCTGGAGTCTTTGCCTCTGTGTTTCAAGAAGTCCCTCTACATGCTGGACTTCAACACTGGAGGTCTTAGTGCCCATTTTGATGCTGTTGATAGTGAGGTCAGCTTCGGTGCTGGGGTGTCAGTGCTGTTTTCTCTGTGCTAGTCTTCAAGGTAGCTTGTCTGCTAAATGGGACACTGGATGATGCTGGTTTGTCAACTAGCAGGATTTTAGAGCTCGTCTCCTCAGGGTCGGAGGAGACCTTCATGGATTGTTCCAGAAGATGGAGCTTCAGCCTCATGTCTCACATGTCCTATCAGAGAATGACATGCACACTGAGCATCTGCTGAGAATGTGAGACTTTCCTAGACAGCTGAGGAACTTTCTGTGGCCATCTTTTAAGAGAATTAGGCCATCATAGGATGGATAGTATGTGAAGACCACAGGTTTTGAGTCCACCATGCTAAGGACCCCTCTACAGGGGGATTTGTACAGGGGTTTAGCTGTCAGTCAGTACCAAGTCCAGATGGGTCGAAGTGATCACAGCAGTCAAAAATCAAGGTCATCAGAAGAGTTCTAAAGAGGATTTTCAGAAGGCTTAGTCAAAAATAAGAATTAGTGGGTCGGATACTTGCCAGGTTCCATCTGACTCCCATTGGTGGAAAGAGGAAAATGACGGAGGTTTACCCTTAATGTACTTATGGAAGCCCAAGGAGACCCTATGTGGCCCTGATGGACACAACTATTTAGAGAAATTCCAGTCTTGCATGGATCCCCTACAATGAGGTCCACCCTGATGCATACACAAAGAACAGTTGTTAACTACATCTGTAACTACAGTTGTATTACAAAGTGTAACCTAATTATTTATTATGTTTCATGTAGGAAAATTATTGTATTTTGTTCTTTTGTGCCTGTGTGTGGTCATTACAAAACTAAATTAACATTTCTAACATATATTGAGATTTGCTGATGGAAGGCACTATGCTGTGTAAGTGCAAAATTACTCTTCTTGCTTGTTTATTCTCATCTTATTTGTAGCAGTGTAGTTTTAACCTTTGGGCTGGAGGCTTATAATTGCTTTCTATTATATCTCTGTGTCAAAGTAGAAGGATGTAAGCTGTTCAAGGGTTATGCTGCATGCAAACTGACTTACTTTTTGAGATGAATCATTAGATATCTAAGTGTCTCATAGTGCGCAGCAGGAAGTAGCATCAATACTTCATGGACAGCTTCTAATCGTTCATCAGGATTGGAGATTTCTGTAAAACACAAAACCGAATTAACATCAGTAGTTTTACACACATATAAATAGGCAATAATGCAAGAAGCTACAATAATGTTACAGAATCATTTCTAAGGACAGATGGTATAGTCCAGTTCTTGAATGTGCAGCTGGGGATAAATATTACATTTATATATGGAGCGTTTTTGCAAGGATGCCAAGATAGCTAATAAAATGGTTTTAACCTGTCAAGCAATCAACAACTGAGACTTTGTGTAATTACTTTTATGCCTGCATGTCTGCCTACAGCACCTGAGCCTTCTCTTATAGTATTTTTAATATTCTGACTTGCATCTACCCTTCATCTAGACTCTGATTTTATGTGATATCTGGACTATCCGTCAAAGAAAGATGGGTGTCATGAAACAAGATAACACAACAGATTCAGGTTCAGCTGAAGCAGTATCAGGCTTTCTTCCAAGAACACAGCACTATACCTAGCATGTGAGGAGCCAGGCAGCCGTTGCACTGAGCAGATGCTGATCAGAGTTCTTATATAGGCAGCATGGGTGGCCTCTGGTACGCAATGACCAACGGGGGGTAAGCTATACTAATTCACATCCAAGCCCTGCACAGGCTGCATGAGTTCCTTGCAATGGAAATTTAAGTTAAATATATCCTTTGAGGCAGCGGTCAAATATATTGGACTGTACTAAAAATTTGCTAATGAAACTAAAATCAAACAACATCACAAAATCATGTATTGTATTGTAGATAATGTGATGTGGGAATTGTGATGGTAATTTAAAATATTATTTGGCAATGTCCAACTATCTAGTCAGGAATTATATAAGAAGAATATGGCATTATATGTTCCAAGACAAGTCAAAGTTATATTTGCTACATAATTTTTCATCAAAATGTAGGAGCACAAACAGTTTGAACCTTAGAAGGCTAAAAATCTTTGTCATGCTTTTTAAAAGATTAGTAAATTGATGCTGGTAAGTTGATCTGAGCATGTTATTTAGAAGATTAATGCCAAGCTTGAAGAATTTCATGTGATGAGGGAAGAAAGAGAGAGGAGCGTAAGTGAGAGGCCTGTGATATTATTAAGACTGTGTGGCGAGGAGGAAGGGAAAGGCCAATAGTTAAGAACATTATGCTTATTGCTTATCCATGCTTCAAAAAGGCATCCTTTAAAAAGTGGAAGTTAAATCCTACTGAGGAAAATAGAAAGGAGCATAAACTCTGGCAAGTAAAGTGTAAAAATATAATTAGAAAGGTCAAAAAAGAATTTAAAGAATAGCCAAGGACTCAAAAAGTAATAGTAAAAAAAGTACATCAGAAGCAGGAAGCCTGCTAAACAACCAGTGGGGCCACTGGATGATTGAGATGCTAAAGGAGCACTCAAGGACGATAAGGCCATTGCAGAGAAACTAAATGAATTCTTTGCATCATTCTTCATGGCTGAGGATGTGATGGAGATTCCCAAATCTGATCCAATCTTTTTAGGTGACAAATTTGAGGCACTGTCCTAGATTGAGGTGTCATTAGAGGAGGTTTTGGAACAAATCAATAAACTAAACAGTAATAAGACACCAGGACCAGATGGTATTCACCCAGGCATAGGTGCCGACTTTCTAGTATACCAGAGGGTGCTGTCCCCCACCCCAGCCCTGGCCCAGGCCACACCCCACTCTACCCCTTCCCCCAAGATTGCACCCCAACCCTGCCTCTTCCCGCCCTGTTCCACCCCCTCCCCTGAGCGGGCTGCACCCTCGCTTCTCTCCCCTTCCCCCCCAGCGCCTCCTGAATGCTGTGGAGCAGCTGATCCATGGTAGGTGGGAGGGGCTGGGAGGGGCTGATCAGTGGGGCCGCCGGCGATCTGGAGGTGCTGGGGGGAGGGGAAGGTGCTGATATGGGGGCTGCCGGTGGGTGTTGAGCACCCACCATTTTTTTCCCCCGTGGGTGCTCCAGCCCTGGAGCACCCATGGAGTCAGTGCCTATGCACCCAAGAGTTCTGAAGGAACTCAAATGTGAAATTGCAGATCTACGAACAGTGGTATGTAACCTATCATTTAAATCAGCTTTTGTACCAGACGACTGAGGATAGTTAATGTGGCACCAATTTTTAAAAAAGCCTCCAGAGGTGACCCCAGCAATTACAGGCCAGTAAGCCTAACTTCAGTACTGGGCAAACTGGTTGAAACTATAGTAAAGAACTGAATTATCAGACAGATAGATGAACATGATTTGTTGGGGGAGATTCAACATGGTTTTTGTACAGGGAAATCATGCCTCACCCATCTATTAGAATTCTTTGAGGGGGTCAACAAGCATGTGGATAAGGATGATCCAGTGGGTATAGTGTACTTAGATTTTCAGAAAGACTTTGACAAGGTCCCTCAACAAAGGCTCTTAAGCAAAATAAGCTGTCATGGGATAAGAGGGAAGGTCCTTTCATGGATCAGTAACTGGTTAAAAGATAGGAAACAAAGTGTAGGAATAAATGATCAGTTTTCAGAATGGAAAGAGGTAAATAGCGGTGTCCCCAAGGGGTCTGTACTGGGACCAGTGCTGTTCAACATATTCATAAATGATCTGGAAAAAGGGGTAAACGTGAGGTGGCAAAATTTGCAGATGATACAAAACTACTCAAGATAGTTAAGTCCAAAGCAGACTGCAAAGAGTTATAAAGGGATCTCACTAAACTGGGTGACTGGGCAACAAATGTTGATAAATTCAAAGTTATGCACATTGGAAAACATAACCCCAATGTTACATACAAAATGATGAGGTCTAAATTAGCTGTTACCACTCAAGAAAGATCTTGGAGTCATTATGGATAATTCTCAGAAAATATCCACTCAATGTGCAGCAGCAGTCAAAAAAGCTAACAGAATGTTGGGAATCATTAGGAAAAGAATAGATAAGACAGAAAGTATCATATTGCCTCTATATAAATCCATTGTATGCCCACATCTTGAATGCGGCATTCAAATGTGGTTGCCCCTTCTCAAAAAAGAAATATTGGAATTGGAAAAAGATTCAGAAAAGGGCAACAAAAATGATTATGGGTATGAAACGGCTGCCATATGAGGAGAGATTAATAAAACAGGGATTTTTCAGCTTGGAAAAGAGATGACTAAGGGGGGATATGATAGAGGTCTTTAAAATCATAACTCGTTTGGAGAAAGTAAATAGGGAAGTGTTATTTATTCCGTCTCATAACACAAGAACTAGGGGTCACCAAATGAAATTAATAGGCAGAAGGTTTAAAACAAACAAAAGGAAGTATTTCTTCATGCAACCCACAGTCAACCTGTGGAACTCTTTGCCAGAAGATGTTGTGAAGGCCAAGACTATATCAGGATTCAAAAAAAGAACTAGATAAATTCATGGAAGATAGTCCATCAGTGACTTTTAGCCAGGATGGGCAGGGATGGTGGCCCTAGCCTCTGTTTGCCAGAAGCTGGGAATGGGCGACAGGGGATGGATCACTTGATAATTACCTGATCTGTTCATTCTCTCTGAAGCACCTGGCATTGGCCACTGTCAGAAGACAGGATACTGGGCTAGATACTGGTCTGACCCAGTATGTCCGTTGTTATGTTTGCTCTAAAGTACAGTTTTAAAGTCAATGGGACTCAGTTATTTAAAAAATGCATGATTTCTTACTTGAAATCTTAAATGGATTTATTCTGGAATCTTTTCAGAGTTGTGCACTAACCTAGTTCCAGTGCAATTCCATTTCAGCAAGTTTTTATAATGGAATGTCATCATGTGTAACACAGTACCATTAACAAAGAAACTTGGGGGCAAATCCTGCTTCTTCCTCTGCCAGATTTGCTTTGGAGCCAGTGCTGTTCTGCTGCACAAGGGGAGCAGAGAACATGAGAACTAATACAGGGGATGTGCATCCACTGCTTCCCATAAAGTCCAGCTTCATAGGGGCTCACTGCATGCTCCCTCACAATGGCAATTTGGGCCTGGGGTATAAAAAGCAGGACCTGGTGGATTCATTGACTATTCTAGTCTTGAGTGTGTAAAGGAACAAGCATAATAGCAGCTATTCTGCCCTGTGAACAGAATAGCAGCTGAGGAACGGCTCCATTACTACTCTGTAGCTCATAGAATAGAGAAAAGATGCTTCCTTTCCTGTCCCTAGGGATCTCCCAATGCCTTAAAGCAGGTTTAATCCCTAAAGCTTTAATCCCTTAAAGCAGAACTGTATTTTTTAAGACAACTGCATAAACAGCTCCCATTACAGCAAACAGATTGGCTCAGATCCTCAGCTGGTGTAAGGTGTAGCTCCCTTGACTCCAGAGAAGCTACCCTGATTTACACAGCCATACATAGCTGCAGGGGAACAGCTCTATATCAACACTGATATAAACATTCCATTTAAAAGAGGAAAATGATGAAAGAGCAATGAACAAAGCAATGTATTTGCTTCCACTTTGTTAGAAAGGCTTGAGTTTTTTTTTTTTTAATAAAAAAACATTTTTAGGAGAAAATATAATTAAAAATTATATGAATTGTTATGCAATTCTTACTTGCTGCCTCCATAAACTTGGAGTAGGTCTCATAGGTGATTACAGGAATCGGCAAGTCTCTGAAATATAGCTTCAGTGCTCCAGCAATAATGTTTATGTCTGGATATAAACTTGCAGAGATATCAGCCTTGTCACCATCTAGAAGAGAAGCAAGAAATCTTTTGTTAAAATAGCATAATTTTACTTCAGCAAGGCTTGGCCTCCTTAATACTGATTAAGGTTTATTCCTTCCATCCTTACAAGAAATAATCTGCAGACAGCATTTGAAACAAACATAAACCCACCAATTCTCCAGTATATCAATGAGTAGTATTTCCTTCACTTTTTGCAAGTCTTGATGGTTCATAGCTTCAATATAAACTGGCAAATACAACACCAAAATCTACAGCATATCATCCCAAGTAGGATTTCTAACGCTGAGTGCAAACATTCAGGATGAATAATGCAACTGCTGAATTCTGCCTGTTTGTTAAATGTTGACAATAACATTCTAATAGCTAGCTTTTATAAAGCACTTTTTACACACAGATCTCAAAGCCATTTACAAAGGAGATAATTCTATTTTACAAGTGGGGAAACCGAGGCACACAGCGGTGAAGTGACTTGCTCAAGGTTACCAAGCAGACAAATAACAGTTTGGAAAAGAACCCTGCTCTTTTGAATCATAATCACATGATCTATTTGCTGGGGCAACAGATCACGGACTCTGCTTGTTGCTTTGAAATTTTCTGTTGTCTTCTAAATTTGTTTTCCTATTCAAACAGCAGGTGAACAGTTTCTGGTAAATATCTCAATTTAAATAGTCTCGCCATGGCATTTAGCTACGTAAGTCATGTGGTATTGTTTCTGTTAAATGATTATGTAACTTATGTAACCAAAATTACATGAATTTTGAATTTCATATATTGCAGCAGAATGATTCAGAACTCCCTTTCAATCATTTTAGCTTAACACTCACTTGATGCTAGTAAAGCTTGAGCAATGAAATGCCTGCTGAAAAGGAAAATGAACGAATTGCAAACATAGCTGAATCAAAGTTAGTTTTCAAGTTCAAATGACTATTTGGAGACATTTTTCTATTAGGCACTGACTTGAACTTTTCCAAAAGTCAGCATTTATGTCATGTCTGTAAAGACCACTTTTCCTTCCATCCCACTGAAGAGTTGGAGAAAAGGACTAGTTTTTGTGCATCAGAAACACCCCTTCCTTTTCTCAGAAACTGCCCACACCCGTGTCAGATTATATGGACACCTCCGGGGTGTGTGTGTGTGTGTGTGTGTGTGTGTGTGTTCCTCTCTCCACCCTTATTTTCAGTACCACAATGTCCACATTTTTCTTCACTTTGAGAACTGCTCAGGACTCATGGCATTCTCTCTCTGCCCTGCACCTGAAAGTGACACTCTTCCTCTCCTCTTTGCCTTTTTCAACCAGCCCAGTGAAAGGTGAATATGCCATACCCAGTATGCCCATCCACAAGAGAGAGGAAGGATAGTCCAGTGGTTAGGGTGGCAGCCTGGGACTTGGGAGGTCCAGGTTTAATTCCCTGCTCCACCCAGACTCACTGTATGACCTTGGGCAAGACACTTATTTTCTCCATGTTTCAGTACCCCATCTGTAATGACAGTAGTACTTCCTTGCCTCATAGAAGTGTTGTGAGGATAAATACATGAAACATAGTGAGGAGCTCGGCTACTAATGGGGGCCATATAAGTACCTAAAATAGATAATGTGTGTATGTCCTGTGTACTGCTCCTAAGGTGCTGGTGACAATCTTTCTTAAGAGGGAACGTACTGTAAACATGCTTCTGTTTATTTTTTCACTGCAGGAGAAAACAGCTTGTGTTGATTCTAGACGTTCTGTACAAACCTATGGCATTAATCTTGAAGGAATCTGTTCTTCTGTCTAATGCATGCACATAACTCTCATTAGCACTAACAGGAGCTACATGTACTCATCAAGAGGAGATTATATGCTTAGTGTTTAAAATAAACTGCCTTTTTTTGATATAGCTGAGTAGTCTGAACACATACATCAGTATTTAATTTAACACAGCATCCATACCCCTAACAGAATGTTTACTCTGCCCCAATCTCTTGTTTATCCACACATACTTGGCACAGTAGCATTAGTATTATAAAACATTGTTTGGACAGCTCTATTTAATTGCTGTATGCTGAATGCTAAAAATGCTACACTGAAAACAGATGCTTTCAAGAAGTCAGCAGCTGCATCAAACAGATATGGCAAATCTGAATGTTGCATCCATTACTTGTCTTTATTTAACAGCAAGGTCACTAGTATACTAAATGGAAGTGCTATTTAGTCAATGTTTTTACAGTGTAGTATAGCAAGCATCCTTAAACTGGCACTCTAGCTGCATCAAATGCCACACAAACATACATTTTATTTATATCTTTGCTTGAAGATCACTGTAACGAAAGCGTATTAGCCCATGAATCACAAAATGAGTTGTTTCAAAAGACTGTGGCACTTCAAAAATTAATGTAAGTCTATAAAAAATGCAACTGAAGAAAATTTTTGAAAGTATAAGGGAATAAAATACATTTCTGTTGTATGAAAAGTCACAAATTTAAAATCTTCTCCAACGGATACCTATTGATGTCCCCCCCGCCCGCCTTTTAAAGCAACTCTGGCAAGCTACACTTATTTTGTATTTTCCCAGGATGGCTGGATTTGTATTTAAAATTTTTAGAAACGTTCAAAGCCATTAAGGAAGAAGTGTTAACTCATAGCAAGTGGAGTCAGGGCCAAAGTGTAAAACAGAAGAGCATCAGTGCTATTAACTTAAAGGAACCTAATTCATTTTACAATGATAACTTTTTCTTTCTGTATTACCAAAATTGTCCACAGCTCTGCAATAAGATAAATTGCCATATAGCAGCTGTTATGATGTCAATATCAAAAGTTTGTGTGTACTAATCTGTAAAAAATTAATTAATTTAGCACACAGTAATATAGCACAACTTAAGTTTTTCTGTTCTTTCTTCCCATCGAACAACTCTTCTTTCCCTTGTTCCTTGCTCTTCCAAACCACCTGTTATGTCTAAATTTGGACTCTTCAAGTCAAGGACAATGTCTTTTCTTTGTTGTATAAAGGGCACAGCACATTTTAGACGGGATATAAATAATAATTTATAGGGAAAGAGATCAGAACTGGTATTATCTTCCACAAATCTAAACTATGCACATTCAGTGCTGAATTACACTTACACTAAAAACACATTTTCCTTCAAAGGTCCTTGGCCCAATGGTCTTATTGTGCCAAATCAAGTGTCATTGTGAGATTTGCCCAAGTTAAAGACTTTAGGATTTGATCCTTTGAAAAAACTGTCAAACTCCAAATCCAGTAAAACAAAGACACTTGCACACAGTTTACACGAATGCCAATAAAAGTCAGGGTGCTTTTGAATGGTCCAAGTAATATTTAACAGCATAATACTATAACAAATGTGTTGTGCCAGCCAATCAAAGAAACAATAACAAATAAAAGGACAAAAATGCATTTACTACAATGGCGTCTCTGTGGACAAATTGCACAATGAGTGTTTTCTATGCCATCAGAATGCAGCAGGTCAACAGCAGTACAGAGAACGACTGTTGCTCTACAGCATCCACATTCATTAGATTAAATAAATCCTTATTATTCCTCTTGTTCTAGTTAAAAATTGCTGAAACAGAACATTGTCACAACCTTAGTGAGCCTAATTCTCATTTACACTAAGGCCCATTTACACCCTTTGGCTGTATAAAGGAACTTACTGTATGTAAGAACTAGGCACTTCTCCTGTTTAATATCCCAGCTTCATCAGCATTTATCAACCTGAGATAATATATCCAGAGATAACATTCTCTGCCAGTGACTTTAACTTCTAAGTTTCAATTTCCTTTCTGATTTATGTTGTAATGCTTTTGTAGGAACAAGACACTGTCCCTTTAAGAATCCTATGGCACTGGGGGTAAAATTCTGCCTTCATTGTACCCCTGCAAGTCCAGTTTAAGTCAACAGGAACTCTGCTATTCTATGGCGGAGTTTGACACATAGTGTTAATCAAGATTTTCTATAACGTTCTATCGCATTTCATTTCCTATAGCCTGATGAAGATGATGTGTGTCTTAAAAGTTTTAGTAAAATAGTTTCCTCTTAGATCATTGTTAGTACTGTGTTCCGGCTAATTAAATGCACAGATTCCATGTGTGTAAACTAACGGTGTTTTTTAAGAGAAATATTTACAGAGATGCCGCTATTGCAGCTAACATTCTAGCCATGTGCACACAGACTGACTTCCTGGTGCCTCCTCCAAACTCTTCCCTCCTGCAACTTGTGCTTCTCCCTACAAGTTCCATACAGGCTGCTACAGTCATGATGTGGAGAGACAGCTCACACAGAGCAACAAGATTTGTATGTGTGGGAACAGTGGCAGCAGAAAGGATGCCAGCATCCAACACAGAAACAATAAGCCATCCTCTTAATGTTTGTAAGTTATACTTTGAGCATGATCACTTCAGAATCCCTCCTTTTGTGGTTAGTTTTCCTTAGCTAGTGTAGCCTTTACAGGAATTTTCTTCCAAACAAGGAAAACTTCAGATACAAAGTATTTCTAAGATAATGTGATCTACACCATTTTAAATGTTTGTTTTTTTTAAAGAAAAAAACAGTATAAAATGCAAAAATAATATTTGAAGAAACAAAGCAGGAGGGAAATACCATATATGGGAGAGGATTACGATGATATATCATACACAAGGAAAGAAAGGGAATATCCTCTCCCAAATACGGTAAGATGATAGGTATACAAGGAAAGCTGCATTTTGTGTGTGTATGTAGGGGCATCTACACTTGAGCCTGAACACAGATACATGTGTGTTTTTGTGCCATAACCCCTCTATTGTCCACATCTGAAGCCCTGAGGCACATTCCTGATGGACAGTCTAGTGCATGAAAGCTAGCACGCCTGAGGGGTGTGGGTATGTAAGCACCTCCGGTGTGGCATGACCCTGCACTTCTTCTACAGTGTAGCGTAGACAGGAGCAAGGGACGTATATCAGGATACGGGTAGCCATAGTACTCCAGGGCCATTCCCACTGATCATTTTGCTGCATGACCCTTAATGGAAAG